ATTTATCAGAAAAATAAAAACCTTTGTAACACAGGAAATAGTGTGTTATTTATTGTTTATACGTTTGGTTTGTTAATTGTGACTTATAGATATCTAGCTCATTTTTGAGTGAAACCATTTTTCTGTAGATATAATATTGTGATTATTTATTTGCTTGGCGTGTTCCTGATCTATCTAGGGAATAGGGACTCCGCAAAGTGTTTATCAAAATATTTAAGTGTATGCATGGGCGCCCAAAGGTAACATTTTAGGGAAATAAAAATGTCGGTAATAAGGTAATATTGTGGGAATATTTATTGAGCTACAAGTTCATAATATTTTTTTTCCAGGGGGGGGGGGCAAGTGCTCTGTCTTGTCCTTCCCAATGGGCGCCCATGAGTGTATGTAATTTTTAGGCGTAATTTTTTTTACAGAACCCAATGTTGTTCATTATGGGGTCCTTAAAAATAACTGATCCATGGGCCTTTGTTACGCCAGGCTGACACTGCTGCCGTGTTAGGTATACAGTAACTAGTGAATAACTATTTATATTTAAGAACCCGCATGCAGGGGCGGTTCCAGATACTTGGTTGGGGGGGCCTAATAGTCGTAATTTTCACAAAACTTATAACAACAAATATAAAACAACAATTTTTACAACTTTTATTATTTATTTTTAGAATAATAACAATACAATTCTTATCAAGACAATATTCTTAGTATTTCCCCAAGTTATTAAGTATTCTCGTAGTCCACACAGATAGTAGATACTAGATGCATGTTACAACTCATACACCTCCAATAATTACATTCTTTTACGAGGGTCTATAATAGTTGATACTATAATATGTTTTTTTGTTAGCAATATACAATTTTTTAGAAATACGGGTTTTAGGCCTTGGGGGGGGGGGAGTGGCCCCTAGGGCCCCCCTGGAACTGCCCCTGCCCGCATGCTTTGTCTCAGTCTTACAAACACATAACATGGCACATTGTACATTCTGAATAATTAATTTAACTCCGTTATGTTTAATCATAGAGTGAATTGACGTATAATAAAATTTAGTAGTAAGAATATTATCTAGTCGATGACATAGTTTTATTTTGTATTTTATTTTTAAAGCGAGTTATGAGCATTTTAAAATAGTAATAGTTGTACATCTGCTCATAACTCGCTTCAAAATTGAAAAAAACCTATGTCATCGGCTAGATAATATTCTTACTACTAAATTTGATTATAGGTCAATTCACTCAAAGATTAGAATCAATTTTTCTTGACTGTATATTATTAAACATTTTAAATTAAATTAAATTACAGAATTATTACAAGGCTCCTTCAATTTTTGAAATACTCGTAAAAAAAATATTTGAAAAATCCTGTCACTTCTGAATCTTTTAAACAAAAATTGTTCATGTTTCCTTGTTTTTCTCATATCTAATCTCTGCTACCTTGAGGTGCTTTTTTGTTAGAGATATTACTATTGACACTTATAGGTTTCTTAATATATAGGTACCTACCTGTCTACTTATTTAAATTTGTAGGTAGTAGGTACTCGTTTATGTATTTGTGTATATCTGATATTCTGATTTATTTATAATTTTGACCAAATGGCTAAAATGATTTAAATTAGAAGGTTTTACAAATAGCATATACTTATACCTATTAATATTATGGAAAATTAGTTGTATTTTGGTTTAAGAAGCCGAAATTTCAGAATTATTATTAATTAGAAACAACTGAGCAAGTCACAAATTAAAATTGTAGACTGTTGTTCAATTAATTTGATTTAATTACTGTTTAGTATCTAGCTCTGCTTATAAAATATAGTAAGTGCCCGGAACCTGGGTATTAGTATACTAAATTATATTTTTACTTATTTAAATGGTTTAGGTCAGCGTTTCTTAAAGTGTGGGTCGTGGGTCGTCAAGTCAATTTTTGGTGGGTCGGGAACATTTTTTTGAATTATGTAGATCCCAAGAAATGTATGTTAGGTACCTCATTATAAAAAGTACATTTTAATTATATTAATTATATTTTTATTCATATTAATTATAAACCTATACAAAAACTAAATACCTATTAAAAATGTATACATATTTATATAATACAAATTTTGTTTTCCACAAATTGTTGAAAAGTGAAACAATGTGGGTCGCGAAAGATTTTTCGGGGGAAATTTTGGTCCCGGTATTAAAAAGATTGAGAACTACTGGTGTAGGTCATATACATGTATATTCTACAAATAGAAATAACGCTATTATGTAAAAATAATAATACACTTTATTTATTATAATAGGGGCATAATATGCATTATATAAATAAATACAAAATAATCATCACATTTCATCGTTGTACTGTTTGACTTAGATAAAGCTTACCGAGTTGTGTTTAGTTGATAAAAAATATTCATATAAATTTGTATTTTTTTTAATTATTATATTTATTTATTTATGTATTTTATAGTCTATAGGTATTTAAACAAAGTAAAACACGAATTAACTGTTAATTTGAAAAATAATAGGGTTACTAGATATTAGGTATTTACTTAATTATAAAAATAAATATTGAATTTCTTACCGGACTTTTAGGTTGAATAGTGAATACGTAGTTAGCTATTTTTAGGTGTGCACCGATTATCTATGTACCTATATACGTATATCTACGAGTACTGATGAGTAGTGGGTAAGACGATTAGGTTACAACAGTTATAATAGACATACCTAATACAATAATAATAGTAGGTGGACAGGTGGTTACCTATACCTACTAAGTCTTATTATGACAATATGACATGTTGAATTCGGGGTGACTCGAGTATCTACTCACCAGTTATCGATAATACAATATTACCTAGGTACTTATTTATAATATATACTAGTATTAAACAATTTACCTGTAAGTATTTTCAGATAAGCCGGAATTATATCAGTTGTTTCAAATAGGTACGGGTATATATATATTATATCGTAGTGTCACCAGTCACCTCGGCAGTATCGACTGAACAACGTACAACCACCGATTAAATATAAATTATTTTAGTTATTAATCTGTGGCAAACCCGGCAAACGTTAACTACAACTGTCTACTGTAGTACTGCAGTGCATGACTAGATATCTTCGTCGATATCTATAGTTGTGCGGCATTGTAGCCTCGTAGGACAATTTTCTATTCAGTATTTTCTACTAAGCGTAGGTACTAAATATCTTCTATTTATCAAGTGCTTAGTAGTAGAATTGTAGAAAATTATGCTTTTTTCTTATCAGGCGAATAAACGTCCAAAAAAACAAAAGTATTAAAAGCGATTCTTCTTCAAGTACAAAAAATTATTCATTTGGTACCTGCTCAATGAAGATGGGTATATATATATATGTATATATGTACCTTATATAAAATTAAAAATATGAAAACTTTTTTAAAAAATATATGTGGAATAGGTACCCGATTATATAGGTTAGTACCTACACCAATTTTAAAATGGCCTATGTTGGAAATAGGATTTTAAAGACTTTCCATGAATACAGGTGCATAAAATATTCAGGATTATCAGTTTATCACAATATTGCAATGTAATTGCAGGCATTTTCGGCTACAGCATTCCATCGTTTTTAAACCAACAGGTCGACATTTTGCTGATAGTACGATACCTAGTGGCTTCATAATAATGAATCTAGAGAAGAAAAGCCCCCTACCAACTAAATACATTATTCTTTTTTATTTTGATTTGCATGGTTAAATATAATCATAATATAATCATTACATTTATCCATACAACACTTCTTTTACATATCCATAACCATAAATATAATACTATAAAATACTAGTTTCATAATTTGTATAAACTTTTAGTTATAAGTTCTATGTCATAATAATATTTAATAAGCTAATGCACCTAACATTAACCAATTTAAAATTTGTGGATACTAAGATAGAGTCTACAATAAAATATGATACCTACATCATTTTTAAGATAAAGTCAAATGTCAATTATTTTTATTACGATATACCTTCTTTAATATCTTATATTTCAAATGTATGTTTAATGTTTATACCTAAATAGCTTAAAATATTGGGTTTATCATTTTATTAAATATTATTATGATATATAGGCATATAAAAATTATATATTATATTCATGGTTACACTAGATCCCTATATCAAACAAGTAAAGATAAATAATGATACATTGCTTAAAAAATTAAAAATGATAAAATGTACACTATAATAAAAAAAGTGTTACGTATTTAGTTACTAAGGGGCTTTTTTTAACCATATTTTGATATTGGGGCTTTTTTTTCCGTATACCATACTAGTAGGTAAATAATGGCTAAGCAATAATTTTTGTAATTTGTGAGTAAAAACTCTAAGATGACACATAATATATTAAAATATATGTATACACTATTGTTATACACCTTTGATCATTTTTTAAGAACACTCGAGGGGCAATCAAAAAAAAATATATATATATCCGAAGTAGATAGATAAGGTACATCACGGCAGCTGTGTGCTAGTAATTTGTAAGTATACACTAAAATGACTACTGTATTATAGTCCATAAATTATAATACGTACCTATTGAATATTGATTATTTACTATTTAGTAGGCTACTCCGCACGACGAAGTAAATATTTTTACTTCAAGCATATGCTACGCCGTAATCACAGACTTCTATTGAGTAAGTTCTACACTAAATTACTAACTAGTAACTACTAAGATCATAATATAGGAGCCTGGGGTAATGACGTAATTCGACCAGAAATGGTTCCGTGTGTAGGTACCACAAATAATAAATTATAATAATATAATACCTACCTATACGTCTTGTAGAATATGATCTGAGAAGACGTGTACCTGCACTAAAGTTATCATAAGTGAGGTCCAGTCGATTACGAAGATGAGCCGATACCACAGCCGTGGTTGTAGTAGCAGCAGTGGTATCCTCCGTGCTATCACAACGTCCGTGTACAGCATTGCGGACCACATTACCACAGTATTTTCCCTTCTACCGTGCGCGTTCGGACGAATGATTCTATGTATTGTACGACAGCGACGATTGTCCGACTGGTGTAGGTGGTGAACGGTGGTAGTGGTGGTGGTGCCGACAAGTGATATAATCGTCGTCGTTCTTCCTTTTCTTCTTTTCACGCTCGTTGTCGGACTCGCATGTTAAATTGTTAACGCACTACGTTTTACAAGAAAATTTTATTTTACATTTTTTTTTTGTATTGGTTTGAATATTTTAAATTTTTCATGCTTACTATTCGTGAGTTTGATTGTATGATTATTTTTTTGCACTAACTATCGTTGGGACGCGCACGTACGTCATACATAGAGTATTATCATCGCCGTTGTTATTGTGTCACTTTTCGCTGTACACGAACGGACTACGTACCGGAGGCATCCAGTGGCGATATTTTCGAGCCGAGTTTTATAATTGTAAATTTGTTGACCGTCTTTGGGTCGCAATTACACGTGGCCCGTGTTCCGCTGCATTCGTTTCCATATCATCGTAGTAGCATGGACGTAACGCCGGTCGTGACGCTGTGCTCAATGAGTTTGAGAGCGTGTGTTATCATATTGTGAATATCTGTAGTTCAATTGTCGCGTCGAAAAGTGGTCCGACGTAAGTGATATTTACGAGGTATTCCACTATTCCAAATTCGTAGTTCTAAATTCATATCACATGTGACATATGGGGAAGTCTTCGGATAGCACTTGCACACAATGTTGAACGAATCGTTTGCAGTGTTCGCTATGATGTTGCCGCCGACTTTCAACATCCATCAATTAAAGTACCACACAAAGTTGTTGGTTCAATACGTCTAGACATATATTTTATATACTATGATAATGGACACTACGTCGACTGCTAATATGGCACAGCAGCAGTCGCCTGCTTATGGGCTCATGAAACGTGGAAAACGTGGTGCAGCTGCACTCATTGCAGCTGATTGTTGTAATGCCACAATCAATGTTACTACCGCCCCACAACAGCAGCAAGATGATGGTGGTGGAGATGCAGCTGCAGCTGATTCCGCTCTGACCCGTTGTAAGTTACTGGACGATATGCTGGACGTGTTGCTTAATCCATATGATGCGATTAGCGAGTGGAATAATTTGGATTGGTTACGTTGGTTAATGGCTGGTGGTAAAACCCTTGATGAATTTAGTAGTGCAGGTAAGTTTTAATTTTAACCATTTTATGTCTTATCTATCATTTATTGTTCAAATATTCCTTTTGTTTAGTCAAAGTATATGACTATGGTACATGTTGTGGCCTTGTTTGGACAGCCAATTATGTAGCATATAGATGTCGTACTTGCAGTATATCCCCTTGTATGTCCCTGTGTGGAGATTGTTTTAAGCGTGGTGATCATACAGGTCATGATTTCAATATGTTTCGTTCTCAAGCAGGAGGGGCATGTGATTGTGGAGACACAAGTGTAATGAAGCCTGATGGGTAATATATATTCAACTATATCTATTGTTATCTTTTCATGTATAAATTCATTTCTAATTGATATTTTACAATGATCACAGTATCTTAGTTGGGAAATTTCAACATGTTAACTGTCATACTACCGCCGGCGGTCATCTGTAATTCACAAATTGTATATATGTCTGTGACCGCTGGCGACTGTAAATTTATTTGGTTTAATATTATTAACTTTTCCTTGGCACTAAAATGATGCACTAAAAAAGCGCCGTAGCATAGCAGTAATCATTATATGTGGTTTGATGTGGAAAATTTTTTTATTTATTTTTAAATGTTGTTTTTAAATAAATATGTACGGATTTGGAATGACACTGAAACATATGCCTGGCGTATTAAAAAAAATCTATTGTATGACCTCCATTGGTTAACGTGTTAATAATATTAGACAGTTACAAATAACTAAGTCATCCTTAAGTTAATCATTTTTTTCATAGTGGTCAAAACAATTTGTTAAGTAAAATGCAATTCAATCTTAAGTCATAACTAAAAAAATTAGTAAAAAATATATTTGTTAAATTCAGTTTACCTGACTTTAGGTACATTTTATACGGTAAAAAATGAATAATATCTAAATTTAAGGTATGATATTTTAGATGGTTAATATCTAATTGAAATAAACAAATTAAAATAAATTAAAATCACAACACATTGATATGTTATGGATAATGCGCAAAAATTGGTATAGTTAAAAATCTTTAGATAATATATAAACTCTCCATTTTACACATTTCCCGTGAATAAAAATACCAACATTGTGGAAAATGGAGTTATGCAATGGATACAGGCGCGGACTGGTAAAAAAGGGCGCGGGATGCTACATAATTTAAAGGGCAAATAAAACAAATTTTAAATAATAGGTATTATTTATAAAATATTTAAACATTTTCTTTTGTTTTAATAAAATATCGTAAATAAATTAATTTTTGCCCCCCCCCCAACCCCCGCCACATAACAATTAGAGCTAAGTTCCTCTTATAAAGATTGTGTTAATAATAAATTAAAAAAGTATATTTAATGTATATAAAAAGCTGCTCAAACTAATTTACCTATCTTCTTATTGGCTACCTACTCTAAATGTATTCTTTTTTCTTTATGATTTTTATAGTCATTACTTATTAGTTATTACATAAATAATAGATCTACATCTACCTACGATTTTATCAGAGAATTTTAACCTTCTCCTTCAAAATTCAGATTAATTTTAGGTGGGCACATTTATACCGATGGGGGCAAATATATTTTAGGGCAAGGGGTGCTGTAGCATCCCTGCATCCCAGCCAGTCCGCGCCTGAATGGATATAGTAAATTATTATTAAAATAGTATAATATAAATACTTGACAACCTTGACTTCTAATATACTATTTTAGCTGATTAATTCTATATTTTACTGAATATATTATGCTAAGATATGTCAGATGTAGTTTTAAAAATAAGTATAATATAAGTGAATAGTACTATTTAGCCAGGTACCTGTTAAATTATTTAACTAGTTAAATATAACATTAAAAATGTATTAGCAATGAATTGAAAATATATTAGTTTTTATAAAAGTAAATAAACTTTGGTATTTGTTTTAATTTAAAGTCAATTTTCCTACTACATGTCATAATATTTTGATTCTGTTAAAAATTTACATGCATCTCACTATCTTCATTAATTTAAATTTAAAACACTAATTAACAACTTATTGACAACTCGTTAAGTACATGTGTATACAAAATCAGATAGCGCTGTAATAACATATAAAACAATATAATATTATCAATGGAAGCAACATCGAAGACAATTATTTACATTTATTTTGTTAATTTTATCAAATTACTTTACTCAGTCAGTGGTAGATTATATATTAGTTACCAGGGTAATGTAACAAAATAATTGTTCTGATAGTAATTTTTTTACTTAAGTGTTGATACTGTCAACATTATCTAGATAATGTTGATACTGTCAACATTATCTAGATAATGCATCTTACATTATCTGACTTAAGTACTATACCCATAAAATATGCTAACAATATACACAATATACTTACATAGTTAAGATGTCAGTATAATTTTGTATTTGATACTTAAACATAAATTTTACTGAAATGTCAGTATTACATTTTGATAATAATCAAAATGTATCTAATTCCCACTATTTGTATTTGTACAACCTATATAAATTACAACTGTACAGTTGTATTATGTACCAATGATCCAATACATAAACAATATTTGTTGAAATTGAAAAAATTATAAATTTATTTTCTTTTTCAAGGTTTTGTCGTAAACATAGTAGTACAATTAATATTGACGGTACTAGTACCAGCAGTAATAGTGGTTGTAAACAACCTCCTGCTGATTTATTGAGGGTAGCTGAGAGAATAATGCCAAGACTTTTGTTACGACTAGTGCAGTATTTACGGGAAAACAGGTAATTCAAAATTTCTGTTCTTCTTACAAAGAACAAATTATAAACCACAAATAATAAATTTGTTTTTAGTAAAATTGCCGATTCTAGAACAAGCAGTACCCACGTACCACCAGGAGGTGTTGCAGGTGCTGGTGCTGGAATGACAAATCAGCAACATAATTTATTACTTATAGACTTGGACCCATTTTTGAGTATGCTACACGACCTTGGTGCTCTTGGAGCTGCTATGCGACGTGTCATGACTGTGTCTCTAACTAATGAAAGAGTATGTTTATTAAAACATCAACAGTGAAAGAATATAGAAAATAACTATTAGTTTTTTTTAAATCTCATATAGATATACCGATGGGCATGTGATTATTACAGTAGCGTTGGTTATAATTTTGGCAGTGATGATTCTAGTCTACAGCAACAAGAGCAGCAGCAACAACAGACTATTTACACTATATACACAGATAAAGTGCGTCGCTATTATGCCGAAGCTATACATCAATACACTGCATCAACATCGTCTCCGTCATCAAGTAGTCGGCGACGACGTCGCAGTAACACAACAATTGGAGATGTTATTCATGGCAGTAACAGTCTTAGTAATTCAGAAGACGACGATGACGACGATGAAGATGATGATGAATTTGGACCAGGTAAATTTGAAACACAGTATTATGTTTAATTTTTAAAAAAAATTTTTTTATTAAAATATTTATTTATTTTAATTTAAAATAAATTTCAAAATTTTTGTCTTTTATTACTTATATATACTTATATGGTATTTTTTAAATTTAATATTTAATATTTTAAAACCTCACTTTTTTTTTTAAAAATTATTAATTTGTAGTTATTGAAAATAGAATGTCTCAAAAATAACACCTTACATTTTTTCTGTAGACAATTTTTTTATATTCGGTATCTATTTTCACAATACACAGATAACAATTTAAAAATGTAATTGTTAAGAATCTGGCTTTTATAAAAAAATTATGTAGGTAACCATAAAACTCAAATCATTTTTTCATTCAAGGTAAAATTAGATAGGTTACCAAAATAATATTATTTGTTAAATTGTATTAAGTCTCGTGCACAAGCTTCTTGATCTAAAAGACTGGGTTTTTAAAAATTTGTTCATTGATTCAAGAATTTTAAATATTTACATAATCTCATCTAAATATCTTAACATGTTCACTGCCACACTCTGCATATCTACCGATAACAAATGAGGGACAATGAAAGTTTATACAAAACAAAGCGAGAAACAAAAAACCGACTGAAAAAAATTTTCCGTTAATATGTTCTGAATGGCCTGATAAATAATAAAGTAGTGCCTCTATGCCTGAATTATTATAGAAGTGTATTTCAATATGCACTGTGACGATCACAGATTAGCGGTGACCCCCGAGGGCCCTACTATCAACGCCGATTTGTGATCAGTAGCGGAGGTGAACATGTTAGAATTAGGTGATGATCTACAATAAAATATAATCCCCATTTGTAGACTATCTGATGTCAGTAATATAGAAGTGTTCATAGTTCAAGACATTTTACCAGACATTACCACCTATTATTGACCTTGTGCCTTCTTACAAAAGCTTAATAAATTATGGGTTATTTTTGAATTGTGTTTCCTAGTAATTGATAAACATAATTGATATTATTTTCATAATTCATTGTGACTGGTGAGATCATTGCTAGTTGATTATGGTTTAACATATTGTGTGTAACTATAAAGATTGTGTTTGTATATTCTCATGAATATTTTATTAAATGGTTGTGATCTAGGATTAAAATAATTTCTACTTGAACAAAAACAAAAACTGGTTATTAAATTTATGTGTTTAATTTCTAAACTGATCATTATTTTAGTATGAAGTTTTCTTGCTTATTGGTAATAGTTATTATTATGTAACTATCTTATTTTAGAGTTAATCAACAATTTAGCTTATTATAGTTGGTCAACACTAAAATGTATACCTTAAAATTTTTTTCAACTTTGAATTATGTTCAATCCAAATAATTAAAAAAAATATGAATATTTTATGTTCCTAAGTTTATGCAATGATTATAATTTTGAAGTTTTAATTGTTAGATTTGGATATTAATTACTTATAAATTTTAACAAATTTCCATTTAATTGAACTGATAGTTTATATAATTATACTTGTATAATTTATGATAACAACTTTTAGATAGAAATTACTTGCGAGTTCCTGTAATATGCAATTTTGAAAGTTAGGTATACATTTATTTTATATTTAAGTACAGTGTTAGAAGTGTTGGCTTAAAGTTACAGATTAAAAAAGTAATTTAATTTAAGTGTAATAAAATGTTGTTTATAATAGTTATAAATTTGTTTTCATTAAATGTAGGTTATTTAAATTTCATTAGGGTTTTAACTTCCATATATCTAATGGTTTGCCAAAAAAATATTATAATAGTTCTTACTATTTTATATTTATATTATATTTTTATAATAAATAAATTATGATAACATTGTTAAAAATAACTTTACATATTATAAACAAAAGTTGTGCATTTTTGCTATATTCTATTTTTTAATTTTATTAAAAAGACCCTCTATAACAAGGAAACAAGGAGGCGTATAAAGAGTTTATGTAGACCTAAAAATTAAAAAAAACATAAACAGTTAAGATACTTTACATATACCTATTGTGTACTAGCATACTTAATTTTCAATTTACCAGCACTTCTGATATTTATCTTATATTATAGATGCAGATAAAAATTTAATTTTGAATATATTATATATCTTCAATTATTTCTGTATAACATTTTATATTTAAGTAAATACCTAACATAACCTTTTCTTTAACATTTTAAACAATTAAATTCACACTTGAATATATGGTTGATTATTATTTATTACATCAATATTTAATATGAAATGTGGATATATTTTTTTTAGATGATTGGCTCGTTGATGGCCAGATTAGTAGAAGACGAAAGAACAAACTAAATCATTCTAGTTTTTTGCAAGAGATTGTTTTTTGGACTGTGCGATATGAGTTTCCTCAAAAGATGGTCTGTTTTCTGTTGAATATGTTGCCTGATGCAGCATACAAGGAAGCATTAACTGAAGCATTTGTTATGCACTATGGATGTGTGGCTCGTGTTTTGGCAACAACAAGAGACTCAGATACCCTCTCTAACCATATTGTTCACATTAGTGTTCAATTGTTTAGTAATGAAGCATTGGCTACGCGGATGGTCGATAAATTAGGATTGCTTAGAATAATGGTATCAAGCTTAAGGCGCATGATGACAAAAATACTGATACCATCAACATTACATGGTAACTAATCTATTCAATTATCAGCTTAGAATAACAAATTTTAAATTTTCGGATAGAATTAGTTTAGAATACAGTTTACTCTTGGTAATTTGGATTTTTCAATATCTCAAAAAAATATAATTTTAACATTTCATTATTTAATCATGAATAATGCAACTATAATTATTTATTTATTTTGATAGATCCTATGAAAAACAGACACAGGGTTGTAGATTGTTCAAAGGCTGTTATGAAAGAACATTGTTATTGGCCACTGGTTAGCGATCTAAACAATGTATTGTCACATAGGCCGATTGCAGTTAAATTTATGTGTGACGACCGTTTATTGGATTCGTGGTTTTCATATTTGTCGATGTTTCAAGGTAAATTTCATGTTTGTTTAAATTAATCACCATAATGTATTTAATAGTTATACAGTAAATAAATTTGTTATCAAAAATTGAAATGTTTGTAGGAATGAATGTTAACTGTCGAGAGTTGGGACATCACGTTGAATTTGAACCAAATACTTATTATGCTGCTTTTAGTGCTGAACTTGAAGCTAGTGCATATCCAATGTGGGCCATGCTGTCGCACCTCACATCTGCTGACACTTTGTCACTCTCCTCCCGTGTATTACGCGCTTGTCTCAAACGTTTACGTAAATGGCTTATAGATGTAGGTTACTACTATAATCAAGATCATGGTAATGTTTGTGGTGGTACTGCTTCCTCTTCTTCTAACTACATTGCTAGTACTTCCACAACCATAATTCGACGATTAGATGATCGTCATCAGTTCACTTTTCACTTGCCTTTGCACCGGTATTTGGCAGTATTTTTGTGTCAAGCTGTGCGTGCTCAAGGTGCCCGTATAGAAGACATTATACCACGAAACAGTACTGATGATTCAGCAGATAGAGATGCATTGTTAATGGCAATCGCTGCACACCCTGTACGAGCTCAATCAGCATTCTACGAAATCATGCAGGGTGCATGGGTTCGTAATGGCCTACAAATTAAAGGCCAAGCTATGACGTATATCCAATCAAATTTTTGTATATCCATGGTAGATGCTGACATTTATTTACTTCAACTTTGTCTATCTGAATTATCAGATGCCAACATATTCATGTCTTTAATACTAGAAAAGTAATTATTATCTACAAGCTAAACTATTTTATGATTGTTTAAGTTGGTAAATTACTTTTAATTATTATTAATATTTTAGGTTTAAAGTGTATGATTGGATGCATGTAGTTAAACATGGTGGATTACCTCAGGTTATGGATTCGGAGGAATATGACGCTGCACCTAGTATGGAGGGCTTATTAGTTTTCCTTGCCACTTTAATAGGTGTCCGTACAAATTTATGTAAGTAGTTATCAAATATAAATGATAATATTGATTTAGTAGGAACTTACCTACATTAATTAATATTTAAAAAAAATTGACTTTTTATTAGGTTCCGATGAAGATTATGAATACTGTCAGTCACAATTAGAAATGGTCACATTATTATGTGTTTCTGATAAAACACACAGCCAATTAATGGAATTAATGCCTGAACGATGTGGTGGTATTCAAACTAGCGCCACAGCTACCACAAGTCCTATAAATACCAGTGGTGACGGTGCATCTCGAAATTCCCCCTCCATTGATCAAGAATCTCCACCAGCAATGCGTGATTTTGAAACTGTATTACAAGCTGTAAGATTAAAATGGTTTATTATATAATCTTAAACCTTAAGTATAGAAAATATTTCATGATTATGTTGCAATTAAAGGTGGCTGAGTATAAGAGACCGCAATTTGAAGCTTCTGGTAACATGCAACAAGGACTGTATGTGCCTTTAGCACATGTCTGGCAAAAACTGTACGACCCAGTGCATGTGCTTTTGAGAGCTGTGCATAGACGTGACTTCCAATCATCCATGGACCGTTATACAACATTGTATGTTATAAATTATTATTATTATTTTTAAATTATTAATAGTAAATATTATTATATAATTGTTATTTAATGTTTTTGGTATATAGCATGCGTTCTATTGGATTGTTGAAACAAAATCAAAACACTTGGCCTCCATATAGAATGCCACAAAAACACCATCCAGCATATCGCAATCCTTGTAGAGCACTGTTATCTAAGTTATTTCATGCTGTTGTCTGGCATTGCCTTTACCGTTCATCAGTTTATCGAGATATAAGTGAACATACACTCAGTTTACTGGTTTATCTTCTTGACCAGGCGTGGATATGTTATAGTAACTCTCCTGTAGATGATAATACATCTAATAATCAACAGCAACCAATGGATACAGATCCTCCAGCTAAGCAGTCTGCATCGTCATCTTCAGCAGCTTCATCTGGAGAATGCTTTTATGAAAGCTTCAATATCAAAAACTGTCCAAAGAAAAAGATAAAAATAACAGTAGCAGATGCTAGTAATTCTGATAGTGAAACAGCTAATGCCAAGGAAACAACACTCCTATTATTGAACCGTTGGTATGATCATGATGATTTGGCCCACAATTTGTGCACTACTATTACACATGTTGAGTTGCCACCACCATACTATCATTATTTTTTTGGGGAAGAAACAACTAATGCCACTTCTAATGCAACAGCTGCCTCGACAATGGCAACCAATTTATTTGATTATTTCACATCGTCTGTAGCAGCAGCTGCTTCAGTTGCTAGCTCTTCATCACCAATCACAGTTTCTCATAACTTTGAACCTGGTGAGAATAATTAATAGTTAATAAAAAATAACCAATTCATTTTTAATAAGTAATAACCAATATATTTTGTTTTGTAGGTAACTCACAACAGCCTAATGTTGTTCCATCACTGGCTACAATAGCGGGCAACGAAATACCTCTTGCTGGTTCTTCTATTCCTACCCGTCCACCTTTTTATAGCTTAAATGCTGCAGCAGCTGCTACATCTTCTACAATGGGTAATACATACTATACATGCCATTATAATAGCTTTTAAATATAGTTTATCAAATACAACCATTCTTAACTAGTATTTAGTGTTTATATAGTTGGTATTTTGTTGTAAAGGTGTAACCCACCAAAAATCTTCAAAATCCCTCGTTAAATTATAAATGTTTAACATAATAATTAAATGTTATTATTATTATCTAAACATCAATTGGTCCCATTACAATTTTTAAAATAATATTTCACTGTCATGAAAGTTCTTGTTTAATTAATAATCTGGATTTCATTATAATACAACAAAAGTTTTATGAATATGAAGATGATAATTCGTCAGTAAGTTTTAATCAATTAAACATTTCCCAATTTAAATTTGTATTACACTATGTTTTAGTAATTATTTTCAATAAAATATGTTATGTTTTAAGTACTAATATCATACCTATAACTATTTCTTTTAGGTATTTAAGATTAAGATATCTAATAAATTGTTATAATTTAATTTTATAAAATAAGATGTTATTGTGTACTTTGAAATTTTTTAATTATTTTGGTTACACTCATTAACAAAACACCATTAATATTATGCCATTTTTATTGTTTTATTTACTTGATGTCCAATAATAGTATGTTTATTACATAAATAATGTTAAATAATGCTTTTTATTTTTCTTTTAGCAGATTCTGCGTTGAATCGTGTTAAACAACGTTTACAATTCTTACGCCCTCCTCCACCAAAAACAGATTCACCTACACATGAGCAACATCAGTCATCATCATCCTCATCATCGTCATCGTCAGACGTTATTATTGATCTTACCAGACCTGAATTTCCGTTTGAGTCAGTATCAAATAACGATAAAGCATCAATATTGGGAGTTGATAGAAATGTAAGTGTCTACAAATAGTTTATTTGTATATATTCAAACTATACCTATAGATCATTATAAAATTTTTTTGTCTTAAGCAGTTAGTGATAGAAGTTGATGACCAACAAAATTCATTGGTATGTATAAATGAGAGTATCATTTCCTTACTTTTGAAATTGCACTCTCAGTTGTCCGGTGAACCAGATTCATATCAATTGCCTATAATTTCACCTCATTCTACCACTTCTAATAATTTAATTGAAGAGGACAAGATAAACCAATCAGCGTCAAAAAATGATATTCTCAATGAAGAAATACCTCCGTGTGGCGATGGGGCATTTTTTGTAGGTCGTTTGTTAGATAGGATAGCTAGGGGGTCAACATCATGTTATGATTGCATATTGCGTACTAGAGTACGTATATGGCCATTGTCAGTAGTAATGCGAGAAACAGCTTCACGGGATGATGAAGAGCGTGAGCGGCGGGAGCGTAAACGCCGGGCTCGTGACAAGCAACAGCAAATGATGGAAGAAATGGCGAGAGCACAACGAGCATTCCTTGAAAGTGCACTTCGCTCTGGAGATCTAGATTCTACTGATACACAATCACAATCTACCAGTGCAACTACTACAAATATGGAATGTGACGTACCGGCTCCCACTATAGAGATATCTACTTCAACTACTTGTAGTAATGAAGCCTCTACCTCAACGTTAGCAAATACTATAGTTGAAATAGACGAAAACAGTAGTAGTAGTAATAGTACAACAACAACAACAAAAGAATCGGCTACTCATATTCGCAGACCTGATCAACATGAAACCACATTAACTGTGGATTGTGTGATTTGTAATCAGACTGTGATTGTACAAATAGAGCAACAGCGCCAAGATCCAGTAGGACTAGTCATATTAGTTCAGGTATGTTGCTTTCTGGATTTTAGAATTAATACAAAATAATAATTTTTATTATTAATTCTATAAGATACTATAAGGTATAGATCTATAAACTAATTTCTATTTGATCATTGTAGGGTACCAACGTTTTAGCACACAGACGACATATTGTTTCACAACCATTAGAGTCGACCAAACATGATACAGAAAAAACCACAGGGCTCGCAAATAGTGTAGCAAACAATGAACAAAATTATTATCATTATTGGCCTGCTTTACCGCCGTTGAATTCACAGCAACATCATCAGCAATCTACATCTGTAATCAATGACCCCAAATCACAGCAACTACATAATCAACCAATTGTTTCAACAATTGCTGATAATTACGATGCTACTACATATGCATCACATTCTGACCGCCGCAAACGTCTAATGTCACAATATTTTAATGTGAGTTTCCTTTCTGTAAATTATAACTAATTGGTCTTTTTTCTAATTATGTTTGCTAATCTGTTATACTTTTTAATTATTTATGTTGATTTATTGATTTTGTAGAATTTGGATAAGGCTGATTTTGAAGTCGGATCCCTTACAACTACTACTAGTGCTACTCCAGTTGGTGGTAATGTCCATGTTCAGACCTGTGGCCATCACTTACATTTGAGGTGTTGGAGTTCATATCTGGCATCATTACGTGGTGCTCAGCGTTTTAATTCAGACCGGTATGTATAACCCTAAACATTAGTTTTATACACAATTCCACAACTGTTTAAATGCATATATAATGATCAATGATGCTATTATGAGTGTTTTTTATTAAAGGACAAAAATAATTTATTATTTTTAAACTTTTACAGTGGTGAATATAGTTGTCCACTTTGTCGGCAATTAGCTAATTCCTTAATGCCGTTAATACCAGGAGTTGCTATTGATCAAAACCAGCAACAACGTGGCTGTGCCTCTTATAACACTATTATTACCGCAAGTGCTATGTCTGGTGCTGTGAGCAAATTGACGGAACTAATTAAACAGCAAGAATATGAATCACCGAATTCAGAACAATCTAGTGATGCTGTTTGCTGCAGTGAAACGTCAACCTCAGTTTTCATTGGTGATACAGAGAACATTGTTAATCGACACCCCTTGCATCAGAATGTTCATCACCATCATTTTAATGATGATGATTATTTTCTGGTTTGTATATTCAATAATATAATAATGATTTTATGAAAAATAGTAAAATGTTATATGATATTTTTATTCTTAGATTCAGGACCAAGTACATGACATTAGCCCTGCTGGTGGTGCAGAAGATGGAATTAGTGGTAATGGAGGGGAAGGAGAAGATTTAGAGAGTGGAGAGGATCCTCTATTGAATGCTGTTAATAGATGTGTGAGTGATATGATTACTACAACTGTAGTTACAGCAGCTGCTCAAACTGTATCATTGCCACATACATTATTGACATCAACTCAACGAGAAAAAATGTATAAGGTAAGGTGGCATAGTGTTGTATCTGTCGCTTGGACAAATATCCAAGTGGAATTGGTGCAGCGTAACAACAGTCTTATAGAACAACTGCAGCAAGACCAGTCATCATTACACCGCAGTAATAATTATTATCGTCACCTCAATTTGTTTTCTGCTACTGCAGTTAATGCTACAGACATCAATGGTAGCAATAATTATTACAATATGCTGCCTAAGCGCAATTGTATAGGTATGTATATTTTGATCAACATCTGTGTTGTCTCTATTCAACTAAAGCATAACATAGTGAATTATACATTAAGAATAGTCCATTTTACTTAATTATTTTTGATGTGAGAGGGAATTAATGTATAATACAATTTAAAATTAAAAATATTATCCAAGGCTCTTTGCAAGCATTTTTTTTAAAGTAAGTTTTGGATATTTTAAACATTGTAAACAATTTTAATTTTTAAATGCTCATAACTCTTTTCAAAATAAATTAATGTACCAAAAAAATCTTAGTACATAGAATTTTCTATGTTGTGTTTTTGTAAGACGGAAACAACACAGGCAGGTATAATATCTACTTTACAAAATATGTATGTTGTTTAAATTAATCAAATAATATTACTATCATATTGAAATATTCACTGATGTAATACAATATACATATCTTATGTATCCTGCTTATTAAAATTAGAAATTTTTAGTGACATATTTTGTGTGTAATATATATGTCACATTCGTTTCGGATTATTGTATTTCTTGTGAAATGGATAATGCTTGCATCTATTTAACAAAATGAAACTGCGTTTCTCCACCTTGCGTAACTTCATACTTTTTATGACATTTTGTGTAATGTGTACTGAAACTATAGATAACAGAATTTATTTAGACATTTGAATATCCGTATACTGCTATCTATTCTAAGCCACTAAGAAGTGTTTACAAGTTTATCCACTTTTCAGGAATCAAAATGATTTTAAACTTAATTTAGTTCATTAGTGAAAATTTAATGACTTATGATTTCAAACTGTCATTATTTTAATTGTTTTTTGATGCTGGATCTGTTTTTTAGCCAACGAAGTTATTTTGAACTTTTTGTCTATCAAATAGGACTTACTTGCTGTTAAATCCTAATAATTGGATGATAGTAAATCCACATACGTCTTAATGAAGAAAATATGTAAATCCATTTTACAGTAACTACTGTAAAATATTTTTCATGTTGTACCACAATTTTAAACAAAGTAACAGTTAAACCTTTTTATTAATAACTGTCTGCTGGTTTTAATTATTCATCTCTTAAACACTTTTTAATAACAATTTAGAAACCCAAAAAACATTACTTCGTATAACATATATTTCAAGAAAATTAAATTGTTTTCATCTATCCAACCTATAATACTGACTTATCTAATTAATTACTTTTGTGCATAAAGTATTATAATAATAATATATCGAAACATATTTTTAATAATAACAAATTTCATATATTATACTTTTATGGCTATATTGTTTGTTATACCAAGACATTATAGATTCAATTTCCAAAATTCCTAAATACTAATAATAAACCCTGTGTTTTAAATTATTTTAAACCTACTGTTTTAGTTTATCCAGCATCTCCAGCTAAATTAACCAATTTTTGAATTCTATTCCTTTTCATATAAAATAATTATAGACACAAACAATAATACTAATTCATTTTGTCATGTAAAATTATAATTTACAGGTTTTTCATTAGAACATTTGACTAAAAATAAGTTTATCTTTCTAAAGACACAAAAAATGAATTTATCGTTTTAGTGGCTTAATACTGTAGTTTAGTGAAACAATAATAGCTATACAATCCAGAAAATAAAAAAATTATTTTATACTTCAAAATTTAATTTATTTGACAATCCTTATTATTAAGGTCATATATTCTCTATCACAATTTTGCTTCAACATCATTATCCAGGTTAAACTTTGCCACATCTCTCTTGACGCAATCTTCTCATCCCATGTAAGGTCTTCCTAAAGGTCCTTACCCCTTGGATTCTTTTGTAGAATTGTCTTTATCAGGGTTTCAAGCTTTCTCTGCGTGTTACTTATCCATTCCAGTATTTTTCTTTGTATCTCCTGTTTGTGGGCCACAACAAACCATATCTTAAAATTTTTCTTTCAAAAACCCTCAATTTTGACTACTCAGTTTTCCTTATAATCCATCATTGCTTTCCATACAATGCCATTGATCTTATCAGAGTAACATATAGCTGGATTTTTAATGCTTAATTACACATGTTATCCATTTAATTAAACATTTTTTGTATCTTTTATTCCATATTGTGTGATCGATGGTTATTGTGCAGATTTTTGAATTTTGATTCTTTCTCGAAACTGCTGGAACCTACCTTTAAAAACTCTTCTGTATGACTTTATCCCGTGGTCTTCTAATTTCCATATATTCTGTTTCCCTTTCATTAATTTGCAATCCCACTTTTTTACATATTTTATGAGTCGTTTACTCATCAACTTTTCATTGTATATATGTTGTTCCCTACTAGCACTATATTGTCTGCATATGCTAAGATTTATTGTTAGGCCAACCAATTTTGCCCCCATCACCTGGTTATATACTCATCATTCTAACTATTTTTCCAGAACTAGATTAAAAATGATTGAATATGATGTATCACCTTTCTTCACCTAAATCTTTCTTGATAGATAGTACTTTTCCAACTTTGACTTTTAGCTTAGTCTTTTTTAAACGGCCTTAATTAATCCTATAAGGTTCTGTGGATGGCAGAAATGTTCTAAAATGTGTTAAATACTTTCTATAGGATTTTAGTTTATTAGACAAATTACAATTTGAATCTATAAGTCAGCGTTTCCCAAAGTGTGTTCCGCGGAACCTTAGGGTTCCGTGGAACAATGTCAAGGGTTCCGTTAGATGTATGAGATTATTGAGAAAATTATGTTTATTTAATGTTTGTTGTTTAAAAAATGTTTGATTGAATTTTTTTTTTTAAACTGAGTTTAATAATGAAAAGTCATTAACAGTATCATTAAAATATTATTTGGACTTGAGAGTTTAAGGAATTGATTTTCCTTTTTTAATTTACAAAAATTGTAGTTGAGTTGGATTAGACATTAGGGTTCCGCGAAACACAAACAATTTTTGAAGGGTGCCGTGGTCGTAAAAGTTTGGGAACCGCTGCTATAAGTCATATTATCAGTTGTGTAATACATTAGTAGTAACATCACTCACTAAAAATGTTTAATCAAATACAAACTTTTACATGAGTATTTTTATTGTCATTTTGTGTCTTAAGTCAATAAATCATCTAATGATATTATTTTATTATTCAAAATCACCAAAATTTTTATCTGAAAGAATGTGCATTTTAAAATTTTGTCATTTTTGGAACTATCCACATTTACATGTTTGTTACAATAAATCGATATAAAAAGTAACAATTATACATTTATGTAGGAAATATGTTATTATTTTCAAAATATTTCAAATATTTCAAATGTGGTATCAATTTATTCAAAATGTCATGATATTTATTCAACTGTGGTGAGCTTTTAGATATTTGAACTACATAAACATATATATTTCAATAAAACTCTATCCCTCAATTATTATTGGTTTGATCAATTAATTAATTTTTTTATTTGATTTATTGAACTAATAGTTACAGTTGAAAATTTAAAATATTTCAAAATTTAAGTTACATATGTACATATTATATATTTTTAAAAAGTTAATGCTCATAGTCCCTGCTAGAATCAAGACATTTTTTACCAAGTATTAGTAATAAAAATCTTAAAAATTTTTTTTTATTAATAAGCTTGTTAAAATTAGTAATAATGGATCATCAAAAAAAATTAAATTGTGAAAACTAGTTTCATAATATGTAGTGACATATATACATCACATAGAATTTTTTGATTTGATCATTTTTGATACTGAAGTTAATAAGTGGTTTAATTTTCAATTTTTTTAGCACCATTGTTAAAAGTGCTGAGTGTGAGCGCTCGGTCGTTGATGGCCAAATACCAGACTCCTGATTATAATCCCATTAGTGATGTTTGGTACAAATTAATTGGGTGCGAACAGCCTCGACAACAGTTAAGCAATACTTATCCACCATTATTGATGCGTGATCCATGCTCCGTACTATTACAACTTGTGCTGTTATTACCTACACTTGACCGCGGTTTGTATTACATTTTTTATTTGTACTTTGCTTTTTTTGGTATTAAAATGTAAAAAATTACTTGTATTTGTCACTAAAGCAACGTAATCAAATCTAATATGAGTATTTCAATTATATGTTTAGATTTGTTTGATACTATAATCAAACTCACCTACAACATGCAACTATATGTGGCCGCATTGAAAGTCGCATCCACGTGGAATCGTAACTGTAAACTTAATCGTCAACTTCATCACCGCCAACGGCACAATACAAGAAAAATGTCAACAAAAAATGAAGAAAGAACTGATGGAAGCACTAGTGTTCGAATAGATTTAGATGATGGATGCAATAATAAACTATCATCATCATCAATGGATATTACCGAAGCTGACAATACACTACCACCAACACCTTTATTTTCACAAGTTGTAGCATTGGCCAGAACTATAGTGTTTTTATCGGATGACTACGAAACTGAAATAGTCAACATCGGTTCAATAGTTAATAATGATGATGAATTCATGATGCATCAAGAAGATGAGGGTGTTGAAAATATTGTTAGTGACAACAACCTTGATAGGTCAATAGACACCTCAAAAGATGATGACGAAATTTTGTTGCTGCTAGAATCTTATGGAAGACGAAGTACACTACCATTTTTGCGGTTTGCCGCTCTATTGAAAAAATATATTAATAGTGATGATAATGATAATCTAGATGACCATCCTGAACTATTAATATCATCATCACAACTAAATAATTTGAATGTTGAACAGAACAAACAAAGAGAACAACTATTGGATTACCAAGTCATTTCTCCGCCACAGGTTGAAGTTAACTATAATGTTGATTTTTCAACTACAAATGACCCTCACTGTCATCAACATTGGTCAAAAGACGATTATGAGTATCTAACACTCGCCCGGTATTTAAAACTGTTAAACAATAATGAGGAAGCCCATGAGGTCAGTGATCATTGTGAAGAAAGCTATAATTACAATTGTTCATACATTGAACATAATGATGATCAAAACCAGAACAATTGTGAAAAAAGACAACATATACCATCGCAGCCACCATCTGCCATGGAAGCTGTCATATGGCCACAATGGTCATATTCTACCAATGATAAAAATAATAAAATTTCGACATCTATTTCTCGTTCTTGGTTTACATCTTTTCGAGAATCATTGACAACCAAAATACCTAAAGCCACTATCATCGGAGAAAATACTACTACCATAGTTTCTTCTGCCGTTGCTGAAATCGACCCAAATTCTAAAGCTACCACTTCAGCTAATATCATAATGGCCGCACGTATGTTGCTTTTTGCTGACTGTTGTGATGGTGGTGGTGTTAGTGATGACACTAGAGCTGGTATCTTAGATGGCAGTCGTAGTTTGTTCCCACCAATCACTTGGGCAGGACCTCGATTGTTGAAACTGCCACACCTGTATGACGACGTTTTCCAGTACTATCATGGTAGGGCCTGTCATCGGTGTCATGGCGTGCCGCGAGAGACAAGCGTGTGCTTGGTTTGTGGTACTGTAGTATGCCTGAAAGAAAATTGTTGCAAAACAAATCACATTTATGAAGCAGTACAAGTATGTAAACTTGTGGTATACATTAATATTATTTAATTTTAGAAAATAATGATTGCTGATTGAAATAATTGTACCTTATTTTTCATTAGGATCCCAACTGTAATACATTGATGCCCCTTAATCATATCTTAAAATCTTCATGATTTATTTCTCTTTTGTGTTTTTTTCCTTTCAAAACTAATTATATTATTATTAATAGTATGTTAGTTTGAATAAATATAATGTGTTAAGAATTATCATACAAATATTATAATATTGTGTTTTATTTTGTATATTAGCACTCATTAGAATGTGGCGGCGGTACAGGCATGTTCTTAGTTGTGACTTCCAGTTCAGTTGTAGTTATTCGTGGTAAACGGGCATGTCTTTGGGGCTCTGTGTACCTGGATGCATTTGGCGAAGAAGATCGTGAACTCAAGTAAATATAAATCAATACATTTGTTTGATTAAATATTCTATTTAAATATTTAAACATATTTAATAATTGCTTTTAAACAGACGTGGAAAACCATTATATCTGAGTGCGGAACGGTACAGACTGTTGGAACATCAGTGGTTAGCTCATCGATTTGACCACACTAATAAGAAATGGGTATGGCACAGAGATGCGTTGTAAATAATAAGGAGATAACATTAATGATAATGGCTTTGATAATAAACACAATGTTATTTGAATTAGTAGTTTTAATAATAGTCTAACAAGCAACGGCAACTGGTGTCATTACCATTTTTTTAATAATGTTGTGATATATTTCTTATTCTAAAACCTTGATGGTATATTGTGTTGTAAACAATTTTTTATAATTATTGTTATTATTTACGTATGAACTATTTTTATTATTTTAACTATTTTACTCCCATTACAATTACATTAAAAACAATTATGTATATAAAACATGTTTATTTATGTGAATTTATTATTAATTATTATGTTGTGTGTATGTATGTAACATAGCATCCATTCTTATATTATCTTAATTAATATACTTATGTAATAGTTACATATTTGTGCGCCGTGTTTACTTATCTATTATTATTATTATATATTTGTTTTTTGTTGTTGTAGAAACTTTACAACTCAACTGTATCATAACACCTATGTTTACATTTTAATAATATATATTTAATAATAACCATAATAATGATGTAGAATGATGTACAACTACTTTTTATACATAAATATTATTTGTCATATTTTAGTGTGTTCCCTTAAATTAAATTTAAGTTCGACATATTAATGTGTGGGAAATTTTAGAGACCTAATTGAATACTTGTTGTTTAGGTGGGTAATCAACCCTTTCCACATTTGTATTTATTTATCTGTGATGGAAAATAAAATCATAGTATTCATTATAGTATTTAAATGTAAAAAATATTATTGTCATTTTCATAGTCAAATGCACTGATATTTTAGATAATTTGTGTATTCATATTTAACTTAAAATATCAAAATACCTGAAATGTAAAGTACTTGGTAAAACATAAAAGAAAAAATTCCTGAAACTTAAAACTTCAAGTTATTATCACATTTTAAGTAAGTAGGTATCGTGTTTAACCAGATATGATATTTAATAGTAAATTAGTAAACAACTTTAAAAGTGTTTAATGTATAAATGACATAATGATAATTTTAGAATATTCAATTTTTTGTAAACAATATTTGAAACATAAGTTTTAGGTATATGTAATTGAACATGAAAAGTGTCGGTATGATATCATGTTATATCATCCTGAGATCAGTGAATCAAAAAAGAAAAAGAGATTTATTACTATTAATTTGGTTTTCAGTATTCATTATTTCTAATTTCTAAAGCATCCAATTGACACCAATTTGTTAATATGATCTACTCTTTATTATTAATTTGACCTTGACTCTGAATAAGTATTTCTTTTTTGTACATTTAATTTTGGAATGATTTTTCAAACCACACTGGTCAGTGATCTTATGTTTTCTATATGCAGGGCAATCAAATGTTGCAAAACAACAGTCAGAAAAAAATCCTTAATAATATTGTTAGTCCATTCAAGCGCTACTATTAAGTTAGTAAACATTCATAATTATTAATAATAATTTGGCTGCTATTTTGAAGCTCTTTGAATTGTTTTCCGGATCTAGCCCCATGATGCTCATTTTGTATCATACACGTTTTATGTATTTTTGGATCAAAATTGAAAATAAGAATAGTCAGAGCTATGGTAATTACTGGTAGTTCTGTTATAGTTACTTACTTGCTTCATGATCACCACCACAAGTTTCTTCAATAGTGTCATATTATTAGGTAAGTTTATATAGTTCAGAACTAGATTTGCTGAGTCAAAGGTTTATTGATATTCTACCACCAGACAACAAATTCTCAATTAATGTTAATATATAAGTTAGCACCATTAAGGCATTAAACATTTAAATGTGACTTATGACCTGTGCTTTTCACCAGAATAATTTATTTGGGGTTTTGGGTGCTGGATGTATTCGGATGTTCAAACACCAGAACAAGTATTTAAGCAAACGTTTGGGTTTTAATAACTGTTATTATTTGGGTCAATATTGGTTAATACAGTTGTTCAGTATAATCCGGAAAAAACTTAATTTTTACAATTATTCTTTTTAGAAATTTTTTTTAAAAACATTTTTATTGTTATAAATTATATTATACAGTATTACACAAGTGTTTGGTCACTGTCAATACAGAGTTTAGTTGTTGACACCAGACCTGACCTTTTCAAGTTTCATTAACTATAGAGATTGGTGAAATGAGCTCTTGTCATGGCCGTATTTAAGTTAAATTAAAATTGATTTTTTTTTACAAAATTAATTTTTCTCATCAATTATTTAAAGTTGTATTAAGATTAAGTTGTTGTATGTGCTAACCAGTTTGAGGGCACACAAAGTTAAATTAAACAAAAAAAAAATTTAAAACAGGTAAGTATTCTTAACAATAGGCTAGGCCAATGTGCCAATTTGGGAAATCAAGGACATCACTTTGGGTTCTTAAACATTCAAAGTGAATATTATTATACGGTTATACATTGTATGTCTGTGATCCATATTTTTAATTTTACAAATTTTTAGTATTAATTAATTTATAATTTAATTTTAGTAGGACTCACTCACTCAAAATTAGAGGAGACCTTTTTAAAAGAATTTCAACCCGCAGGACACGACACCGTAAAAAATTAAACTAGAAATCTTGGACTAGGTGATAATGACTATCACAAGTTTCTTAGCCGAAATAGAAAGATTATAAAGGCAGATAGATATACTTATGAGTGAAGAAGACATTTGTGGATATATTTTAAAAGGTTTAAACGATAACATTTTACAATCAATTTTAATGCAGGACTAATAGCTTAGAAAAATTAAAGAAAAACTTGAAAAAATTTGAACTGATGTAATTTACGATTAAAAATAGAATAGGTGATATAAGTGAATACATAGAAATTCTAATTGAACATTTAACAGGTATTACAATTAAACCTAAAAACAAAAGATATAGAAAAAGAGAGTAAGGAATTGAGGAGGCAGTTAGAGGACGGAGATCGAGAGTATAATAGAAATATAAACAAATTAAGTGATGGCGTACAAAAAAATTAACTTATTAGGAAAACGACAAAATAAATCGGTGTACTTTGATGACAATAATAAACAAAATAACTATCATGATTATAATGAAAACAGAGGAAGGAGTTATAATAGAAAAAGAGACCACTATTAAGGAGAAACGCGAGTACCGGGATAACAACGTATAGGAGAGATGAAAATGAAGAGAGAAATTACAATAAAAAAGAAAATAGTCCTTACTCCTTTAAAGAAAGTAATAGATATTCTAGAAAAAACAGTAAAGACAGCAATTACAATAGAGACAGATCATGCCCAAGAGAAAAGGGGAACAATTATGAAAATTCTAGGGACAGTAGTAATGACAGAAGTTATGACAGAGATTTTATGACGCATAAACAAAGATATGACCAAGACAGGGGAACAAGTAGATATTATAACTACCGTAGTAAAAACAATGATGATAAAATACGTTACACAATAAACCGTCAATACAGCAGAGAGAATAGCCACGAAAGAATACCAGGAAAATACAGAGAGGATCGCTATGCAAGAGAATCTGAGAGAGTTATTTGCTATAGGTGTAACGAGAGAAGTCACTACGCTGATAATTGTAAATTTCCAAAACACGACTAGGGTCCGAGTTAGAAAAAAAAATCGGAACAGCTAACTCGGAAAAACCCTTTAATATAAATTTAAATGAGATGAAACAAAAAAATAGAGAAAAATAACTATATACATTTTATTAAAAAATGGTACAACCAAAAATTAAACAAAACTACTGTTAATAAAGACCTAGGTAGAAGCGAAACAGAAATTGAAACCGTTTATTTAAAAATAACCCAGAACCAGTAAAAGAATTGCAAATCACTTTACCCAGCAATAATATAAACTCCACGTGAGCGTGTGCCTATTGTTGTGTTAAGCGTTTAATAGGTATAGGTATAAGTTAAAAAGAAATAATACTATTAGTGATAAGAAATGTTAGCATATATTAACTAGGTTAAGTAAACAATCATTTGTAATAGGTAAAATAGTATAGTTTTTAGCATAGTCAATAAGTATAATATACCTAGGTTAAACTTAATATCAATATTACCGATAGTGCTTCTATATTTAGGGAATATGTGAAAACAGAAGGGGGGGTCAGAGTGTGGTGATCGTGTGACTCGATTGTCACTGGACGTCCAAAACAGTACAAGAAATAAGATCGAATATCAAAATTGTATAAGAGAAAAGTAGGACCTGATGACCTGGAGGATATGATAGATACAGTTGAAAAACAAAGCATTATAAACACCTCAATAATAAAATTAATAACAACGATAAACAGGAAAAACTAATTGATATAATAGTAAGATATGAAGAAAACTGTAGGGAGATAGATAAGAGTAAAAAGATATATGAAAATTTAATTTTTAAGGCTCAGGATATTAACGGGAGAATGGAAAAAGCATAGCTGGGTGTGACAATTATTATCAAAATAATAAGTCTGAAGGCAATGAAAACGAGACAAAAGAGTTCAACAACAGTGGCAGGACCCAGTGGAAATTATTTTCCCAGAAATTTGTCTAACATTGTAGAGTCACTACAAGTTGTAGCAAGTAACACGGTAGAAGCATTGGGGAAAAGAAATAACGCTAATATTTTTATAATAAAGTTGTCTCAGAAACCAATAGTTATATACGAATAGAAAAATAGAAGTAACAAAGAACATTAAGTTTTAAAATAATTTAGCATTAGTGAACGGGGAAAATAAGGGGGGACCAGTAATAACAAGTAATCTGGTGGAGAGGCAAGAAAGAATCATTATGGCCAACGGACTTGAAAAGTGACTCCGGAATATTTCATGGGGGATGAAGACATAAAGAGATTTTTAGAACAATATTCAATGATAACAGATTTTAATAATTGGAGTGAAAAAGACAAATTAAGATTTTTACCTATGTTCGTTAAAGGTACAGATGGCAATTCTTTTAAAAACTTAAACAATTCAAAAGATAATTGGACATGGCAAGAAATGGAAGAAGCTTTCATAGATCAATACCTATAGAACATATTACCTTTTTAAGAACAGCCTTGGAAAACAGGAGACAGGGGAATCCGAATCAGCTATAAGCTTTATGACAGAAATTGAAAGTTTGTGTATGAAAATTGACAAGAAAATGAAACTGTTAAAGGGTCTTAAAGAAAATATTTTACACACAATTTCAATGCAAGATAATACGACTTTTAAAAATTTGAAAGAAAATTTAAAAAAAAATTGAACTAATGCAGCACAGAATTGATAACCGGGGAACGATTGTAAGCGAATACACAAATATG